ATTGTACTATGAAAAGTGAGTATGAAGGTTGTTGTTTTCCCATGATAGGATTTACAATATTGCCAGTGGTAAGCAAAAAAGATGTTATAAAGGATCAGTAAGTGACGATGGTACCTTGATACGTGTAGAGTTAGACCCAGCTGGTGTCTATGCAACAACTAGCTGTTCTGATAAAACGATATGTGTCTATGATTTCTATGCCGGCGAGTGTGTTGCCACCATGCTAGGACATTCCGGTGAGTTTTTATTTCTTGCTGTACAATAAAAACGAAATTAGTGCTGTAGTGAGTGATAGAGGGCAGTGTTTAACTCCTGACAATATTCCAAAATTAATGTGATGAAGTTAAACATTCAATTTTTATGGAACTGATTTGAATTGTATGCATTTTTTTACGTAAATGACTTTCTCTGCTTTAATGAATTCTTAACTTTTTGATTGTTAATCATCCAATCTATTAATTCAAAAAGGGCCTAAAAACAGTGTTGCTTCTAGTCCCAGGGAAAATTGAAAAATGATACAGTTTTATTTTATTTTTGTATTAAGCTTATTCAATACCTCAAGATGAAAATATATGTTTGACATTTATTAAATGATGTGTTTGAATACATGCATTTAAATTTAAACAAAACAAAACAGAAAACAAACATTTCCCCATTTTGCTGCATGTGGCACCCTACACTAATGATGAAAAGAAATATTAGTTTTAACCTAATTTTGATACTGGACATATTTCTTAGATTTGGCTTGTCATAAAATGATATTCACTAGTCCTGGTGAATTTGTCTATTTTTGCTGTGATTTATATGATAAATCTATTATTGCTATGAATTTCATAATTAATTTTTTTAGCTTAATTAAATATATATTATTTCTTTTATAAAATTTGGTGGTGCATATATGCAGCAGTCTTGCTTCATTACAACTACGGTAATTTTATTTCATTCTTTGCTTGTTTCTAGAACTGGTTACTGGTATACGATTTACTCATGACTCCAAGCATCTGATAACAGTATCTGGGGATGGGTGAGTTCTATCGATGATATACATTTCACAATGATCACTAAATATTCATGAAAAAAAAAATTCAATTGACTTTGTCAGTATATGAAGATGAAATTCATGTAGTCTTAAATATTACTGTAAAATACTTTATTTTCGCTGGAATTAATTTTCGCTGAAAAGACTTTTTGGATGTTTAGTATATAATTTATTTTCACTGATTTTTGAAAAGTTGATTGTAAAATATAATAAAAAAGGTATATATTTTATTTACACTGAATCATTCCTTCAGTGACAGTAGCAAAAATTAATTCCAAGCGAAAATAAAGTATTTTACAGTACTTGTCCTTGTATAGTTCATGTCTATGTTTAGTGGGACGCCTGCTTGACAATGTAAAGGGTGAGTTTGGGGAATACTGTAAATGTTATACCATTTACAAAATGTAATTCAAACTACCCTTTTTGGAATGAGGTTCATATAAACATGAATCTGGTCGTTTAAAAGAGACTTGGTGAAAGGATTGCTATTGTGTACAGGTAACAATGAGGTCTGACAGGGTGTAAAGTAACGGAGACAAAGAAGTCATTGATAAAAACCTAATCCGAGCATGTCATTGAATTCACTTCATTAATGACCCCAACAACATCAGCATTTACTCTGGGGGTTATGTGGCGCCACGGTCGTTAGTGTTGGACCCGACTAGTTAACGTGTGTCAGGGGTTGGTTGCATATACACAAATTAGTTTATTTTCTGTAGTTGTAAACACATGTTGTTTGTTTATCTGTTTGTAGATGCGTATTTGTTTGGAAGCTGCCTATTATGTTCACACAGCACATGAAAGAAAGAATGGCTGAATTGGGAAAAGTGCAGAAGGTGGAACCAGCTTATAATATGCTAAGGTAGGGCAATGTTAATTCCATAGAGTATATATATCCTACTTGTCAGAGCTGCTCTACAGTAAACCAATTCATTTCTGCCCATGGAAATGTTAATGGTTTGCTGATTTAAGAACATGTGTGAGGACAAAATGTCTCAAAAGCTGGTCTGACTTCCATATTAATGGCCTCAGTCAGTGTTCACTATGACAAATTTAATTCACACACAAAATTTATTACACAGAACTGAAGTTTTTTTTTACAGTATCTGGTGTATGTGTATACATACGTAAGTCATTTTGTTAAAATGGCAAGTATGTAAAATATATATCAGTATAATAAGTTTGCTTTGATTTTGATGCAGTATAAATTACCTCTGAGGTGTCAAGTGATATGGGCATTGTACAATAGCTTGTTTATTCCATCTGAAGTCATTTTGAGTTTACTTGTTGACTTTCTTTTACTGTCGATCGTCATCACATTGACCCATGTTTGTTTAAACAACCTTTAGAAAGTATCGATAACTGTTGATGTATATAAATAAAACGACTCTACTGCTGAAACCAATTGTTGTGCTAGAATGGCAGTGAAAAAACATGCAAATAGTTCAAATAGTTCTTCTCAATATGCATATACATATATGCATGATGGCACGTTCAGTGCATTCATGAGATCCGTATCTTAAAAAAAACATGTTGCTAGTCTATATTACAGCATATGTAAACGAAAAATATTGTCCAATTTTGTATTGGCTAATTTAATTATCACATTCACTAATTGGCTAAACTAATTTATAATTGGTTAAGAAAAAAGATGTAGTATTTGACTGCTGCCATAATAGCATCAAGAGCCACCTTTGAAACCACTATGCACATTTTGTGAATATTGTCTTCTCTCTTGATTTTAATGGGCATCAATATCTCGTAAACTATTGCAAGGAGTTAATGAGTGAGTGACTGAGTTGAGTGAAGTAGAGTGGCTGGTAAATGTATGAGCCATCATATGCTTTCACCTATCATCAGTCCCAGTAGTGACTTTGCTCTCTTTCTAGACGTGGTACTTACACAGCAATGCCGAAGGTGATTCCCGGCATGCCAGCACCAGTACCAGATACAACTGACGGCGACAGTGTATTGGAACAACTACTATCGGAACCATTTATGTCGTCAACTGAAACTCTACTGCAAGAGGAAGGATCAGAACAGACAAATAATGTTGGTAAGTTCCTCTTATAATTTCTATGCATTATTGTTACACATTGTAATATGTCTCAGAGTGATTTACAATCGTTTTCACTAAACATTGGACAATCAGATTGTGGTAAATGTTGATACATCAGAGCAAGTACCTAATGAAATTGCCACTGATTTTATCACTACTAATCAAACCATTATAACTGTAGCATAAACATTTTTGATACAATGTATACATGTCTGAGTCCAAGGCGCCATTCTCTCTTTTATTGTTTGCGCAAGACATTTCGTTTTTTTAGAGTGAACAGTGTGAATCCTGACCAGCATTGCTGATTTACAATGCTATTTTGACAATGGCTGATATCTTTCTCAAGCTACATTTTACTTATTACACGGAGGACAGAATTGTTCTCATCTATGTTAAAGAAGACGAGTTTATGTGCATGTCATATCAACATTTTGT